TTGGGATGGGTACCCAGAAAGACCCACTGGACTGGACTGGACTGAAATGATCCATTCTTTCTCAAAATTTTCCAACAAGATCACTGCACCGAATCTCTCGTCTCTTCTCTTCCATTTGTTTTTGACCGTGACAGCAACGACTCAATAACATTCCCATGTTATCAGTTCCCCTAGATTGCAATCTATAGGTGACAAAACGATGACTTCTTAGATACATATATTTCCATGCTTTTTCATGCTCTTTGGACTCTGCTTCTTTTGAGCCTGTCTTCTGTACTTTCGTGACTCATGTCTTTCTCTTCATTAGATTCTTGTCTTAAGCTAGTTCCCAATCTCCCCTTCCCTTTACAACCTTTCAAGATTCAATTTTCATTTAACCCTATTTGACATGAGTTGGGATCGGTTATAAATACGTTAAAAGTAAATTGAAGAATCTATTTAACATAGTTTGACGCTAGCTTGCTGTGAAACTTTTTGGTAATGTAAATCAAGGTTCCATGGGACATGAATACATGTACTATAATGTAAATCAAGGTTCAATGGGACATGAATACATGTACTAGGTTTGTCAACAGGGGTGTAAAAGTGGAGAAGTAAAGAATGAGATAGATATATGTATATATGTCTTGTTATATTTGAACACGGTGCTCCATTCGTCAAGGACTACTCCACTCATAGACTTGGATCTAGGTAAGAAAATGACACATGCCTATGATTGTTGATTCTGTGTGGGTTACAGGCACATGTAGTTCGGCCCCATTATGATCAGCACCCATTTCTCAATAGAGCTTGGGACAATGCCAACATCATAATTCTCAACCATTTGATTTTTTTTTTTATCAAAAAACCATGGTTCAGATTTACCAGATAAAACATGGATTATAATTATCACGTAGGTTAAATCTTTGGGTGTGAATACAAGACCTATAAAAATATTGTTTACACCTAATTTACTCTCCTATATATCTCACTTGTACATCAAGCATTAGCTGACTTAAGTGAGATCTTCGAGGTTAAAATAATTATCTGAAGCTATGTGAATTCCGAATAAATTGAATGTTGAAATACTCGAACCCTGGAGTCTACTTGTTTATATTTTGATCACATCAAAACAGTAAGCCATGGATTTCGGTTCTGGGCCACTGCAGCACATGCGTTGAAAAAGGGTTGTAGGTTTTGTCTTGTCGTGATTATTCTACTAAATTGTGCCAACTTTAAATAAATAATGGACTTTGGTCTAAATTTTCACAAGCATAATACACAGAAATCTACTGTTATTCAGACCTTTGAACATTGTCCCCTAAGATAACAATAATAAAAAAAAAAGAGAGAGAGAAATCTGCCATGTGCATCCATGCATGGATGATCAGTAGTATTCATTGAACTCAGAAGTTTCTTGGTAGATCTTGGTATAGTTCTATGATTGAGGCCAATATATATCCAATCTATCGCTTAGTGTCATTTCTTTTGGTCAGATTATCTGAACATATAGCCATATAGGACATCATCATATCTTAATTGATCTCAATGAGATTAATCTTGTAATTTCTGGTCTGAGTTCCCACAGACATGTTCTTGTTGCAGTGATGGAAATGGAAGTGTTTAGAAGAATATGCCAATTCCTAATTTTATTCTTGGATTCAGAACCGCCTAATTAATGGAACTCTATCCTCTAATGAACTGAGCTGATATTTTTTTCATGGAAAACAAAATAATGAGACAGGAAACGAAAGTGAGTACTGGGTATCCCTTCCCTATATAAATATACAATTCAACCCTAAACTCTGAGGGCAGGGCACCACGGCCCACGTGGTAAGCAGAGAGGTTGTGAAATCCATGATTGCAGTCACAAAAAGGGGCCCTTGCACTGCAAACTTTATTCCTGTAAATGAGTGGGTAGAGTCCAATGACAGGCAAAGGATGAGATTCAGACAACTGCAATTGCTCCTTCTCTATGCCGAGCATAGCATTCCAGTACTGTTACTTGTTTAACAGTTGTCCAGCCATCCATGCTGCTGTTGTTGGTTACTAGCTTACAGGAGAGACTTACTCGGGTGCCCACATTTGTTGACTAGCTGCTGTTGGGCATGTGCTTTCTATGTATTGGTCGTTGGATTCTTGCAGTGGATGGAGCACTCTTCATAAAATTATAAAACTGTTTATTGAATAAAATCCAATTTTCCATTTGTCAAATAGATTTCACCAATGGAGCTAAACAGCCAAAGTGAAAACCTTGACTATAGCAATTGATTTGCAATTGCAGAGTCAAGAGAGGAGTCAGTTCTAAAATCTTTGAAGGAAAATTCCCTGCTTAAGACTGCATGCGCCATAACAAAAGGTGCCTCGTAAGAGTGAAATATCGAAAAGTAATGATGACTTTACATCAAAGAAAACAAAATTGAAAAGGTTGAGGAGGACCACCAATAAGGCGAACATGGAGAAGTTTCAGTATTTTGTTCTCTTTTACTGTAACTTCCACCGTGACTCAAGGCCATCTGATTTCTTGACTGTTACCGCTTAAATTGTGAACATTCGGAAACAAAGCCTTTCAAAAGAAGAATAACACAAGACTATTTTACATTGTTACCGAAATAGCTTGGCATTCTCGAAGGGGCAATTACTTTGTAACCCCGTTGAGCTAGATAGACCCTCTTTTGTTCCTTTCAAGGGATAGCTTAGGCTTTGGCTTTTGCTATACCGAAACAGCAGCCAGGGTCAAGGTCGATGGAAAATAAAATGCCACCCAGTGGAAACCAGCTTGATGCGACTTTCAGGAGTACGGTTCAATACGGCAAGCAATAATATGGAGAGTTTGAGTCTTGAACCCTACAGGCTACACGAATACAATTGAGAATGTAAAACCCAAGAATTGAAATCAATAGCAGCAAATTACGCATGATCACATTAATTTTTCTATAAGGCTTTTGATATTCCGAGGAAGGTCATTAATGCGTGGACCAATGGGAAGGGTTCCAACCAGGGCAGCACTTGGGTTTGGGTTTTTTGACCAAGAAGTGTTATTAGTAGGGAAAGATACGTCATGTGATTGA